AGAAGACCCCAAGCAGCTAAAACCATTCACCTTTTTTCCTAATATCAATCTTGGAGAAATGATGGAAATACTTCTTCTTAAGATGCTAGTACAATAGGAGGCATTTTAATAAATATTTTTCATTGGAATATATAATAGAACTATTAAAAAATTTAGATAGCTATTAAGACCATCCTTATGCTGATGGGTTCCAATATCTTACATTTGAATACAGCTTTCTTAATTTCAAAATATGTTTTTATCTGTTATCTCTTTATCAACAAAGCTCGTAAAAACATTAAAACATTGCCTAGGTTTTTTTCTTGTAGGCAATTTTACGGTACCCAGGCAATGTTTTAAATAACTGTTTTGCTCTTATATTTGTATGTATGTATATGTGTATGTATTTAATTTAAAAAAATTTAGATTTACAAAAGAGTTGCAAAGATAATACTGAGAGGTCCTATGTTCCAATGGTTCTCAACTTGAGACAAAGTTATAAGTGTGCCCATCTCCGAGATAGTGTACATTGTACCCATTAGGTATGATTTCACCCATCCCCTCCTCCCCTTTTTGATTTCTGTTGAGTTTTACATCCTATTGTGCACATGAGTGCTGTTTGGTTAGTTCCAATTTAATAGTGAATACACATGGTGTATTTTTTTTTTTCCATTCTCGTGATATTTCACTTAGGAGAATGGTCTTCAGCCAGTCCAGGAACTTTTCATATCTAACAATAACTGTCTCCATTGAAAAGGTAGAGTTTAATATTTTCAGCAACAATTTTAATCTTTTGGAAATCTCTATTTCTGATTAGATATAATATTTTCATTTTCTTTGCTAAGGTAATATATTAAAGTGTGAGTTACCACCCAATGGAATAATTGAATAAATGTAAAGATCTTGAATTCATGGTACAGTTCAATGGTGATGGGAATGAGGAGAGTATTTGGGCCCACAGCTGTGTTAGGGTAGCTGTATGCATCCCTCCCCTGCTTTATTTTTCTTTACAGCACTTCCTCCACCCCCTGCCACAGTGTATGCATTTATTTACTTGTTATCTTCTGTCTCTACCCCCTTAGACAGCAAGCTCCACAGGACAAAGGACTTTGCTTTGTTTACAGCTGCATTCTCTGACTCTCTAATGGGGAATACCATGAAATTCCTGTCTAAACAGTATTTAAAGACGCTTTAGATGGAAAGAACAATACAGGCAAAGTATCCAAATGACTTCTTACCTGGTTTCTGCCTCCTCTATTATGCCTGGAACACCATTTGATATTTGGCTAATTTATGTACATGGCATTACTACACATAATATATAACCTCCTGTATTTTTTACTTGATGTTGTGTTTTTTGAAACTTATTCATTTATTTAGAAAATATGTATTTCTAGTTCAATGGTTTCCACCAAGGGAGTGATTTTTTTTCCTTCAGGGGATATTTGGCAGTGCCTGGAGACATTTTTGACTGTCACAACTATAGAGGCCAGGTTTGCTGCTAAACATCCTACAATGGACTGTGTATCTCCACATTACAGAATTATCTGGCTAGATCATGCTGAGCTTGAGAAACCTTGAGCTATTTCTTTCCTTTAATTTGTGGAACAGTATTTCCTTGATAGCATATAACAAATTTACTTTATCCATTCCCCTACTGATGGACATTTAGGTTGTTCCAATTCTCTGCTATGATGATGAGTACTGCAAAGAACATCCTCACCAGTGTCTGTGTATGTGTGCAAGAGAGTTTCTAGTAGCCACACTTTCTGTTCTAGGAAACACTTCCAAATGCCACTCGAGTGGCAGGACTTGTAGGCTAACAACGGCATTGTTTGGGATTCCAATTTGATGTGTTGTTACCAGCACTTATTATTTAATTATTAATTTTTGGCAATTTGAAAAATTTAAAATAGTAGCTAGTTTTCAACAATTTTGTATTTCCTGATTATTAGTAAGGCCAGAACAGGAATTATTCACATCCCAAAGCATTCAACGAAATTGGTCAAGCATGAGCCACTTCATTTTGTTCATCCCTACGTGTTTGGTATGTATCATAAAACCGCACACTTTGGGAGACCTGGCTTGTTTCTGCCGGTAGAGGTCGCTGTGCCTCAGTGGTTCTCACCAGCATGACTTCTGATCTTTCTACCCTAGGGATTAATTGGCAATTCCTGGAGCCATTTTTCTCATTGTCACAACTATGGGTGTGCTACTGGTACCTAGACATTAGAGGCCTGGCATACTGCTAAATCCCTACAATGTACAGGATGGTGCTCCTCCCCACCAACAAAAAATGAAATCATCTGGCCTAAAACGTCAATAGCGCCAAGTTGGAGAGACCACGGTGGTAGATCTTCAGAAGAAAGACTATGGCAATCTCTATGATAATAAAGCTGCCTATTATGATGATTTAAATTACAGGACATTTGAAATAAGTATTTAAACATCTCAATAATTATTAAATGTTAAATTAAATACGAAAATAACATATCATCACATATTTGAATAGCCAATGCATTTTATTAATAACAATTGATCATTACTGCTCATTTACTACCAATAAATCATTTGATATTGAACTGTAACTAGGCAAACTGAGCAGACCGGGGAGAGGGCAGGTGCGGGTGGGCAGGGGAAAGGCAAGGGTTGAGAGAGCAATAGAATCTTGGAAAACTTGAGGGTGGGCTCCGAGGACAAGGAGAAGCGGGCAGGGGCTGCCAGGGCTGGCGGTGAAGCTGGGGCCCCGGGCTGCACGAGTGGCTGGGTGTGCTCAGAGCCACTCGAGCTCCGATTGCGGCTCCCGTGCGGGGTGGCCAGGCTCCAGGCTGCGGGGTGGCGCAGCAGCTGCTCCCCGGGCTCCGCTGCTCCCCAGGCAGATGCGGCAGCCGCTGGCGCAGGCGGCGGGAAGGCGGCCAGGCGAGCACAGGCCGATCCCATTGCTCTCCCACACGGCTCCCCAACGGCGGGGGCCTGCGACCAGCAGCCCCGGCCTGGGCTCGAAGGCTGGCACCACTCCGTTTCTGCTCACCGGCCTGAAGGCAGATGGTCGGGGCTCCGGGCCCGGCTTCTGTCGCTTGGGGTCCGGGACCTCAAACCACAGCGGCCCGTCGAACTTCCTTTTGCCTTTGTCGCACGGCCCCAGGGCCCTCAGCACGGGCTCGGTGGCGCAGGGCTCTGGGCTCTCCTGGGCCCGCAGGCGCCGGTAGATGCTGCCTGGGCGCTGCGGGGGAGCGATCTTGACGGTGACCAGGCTGCGGACTGGACGCGGGTTGCGGGCGCTCCAAAGCCACCGCTTCCTGTAAGTCAGCGGAGCGTAGGAGAGATCGGGCCCCACCAGGCTCTCGGGTGTAGGCCTGTTGGGGAAGCGCCTCCAGGCCTCCGGGGCCAGGGCCCTGCGGATTTGGGTGTAGTCCCAGCCGGGTGGCGCGCTGGGCAGGGGCCGGGTGCGGACCCAGCGCTGCCGATGGACGTAGTGGACTCTGCAGTGGTCCTGGGCCTGGGGGCGACTGGCGGGCCCGGGCCGCGGGGACCAGCGCTTCTGGGCCGGCTGTGTGGCCTCGGGAGTGCCCAGGTACCCGCCCAGGCAGCTCAGGCAGTTGCCCATGACAGCGGTGCGGTGGGCAGGTGACTTCAAGTGCAGGTTTGACCTGCTCAAGTCACCGACGTCTGCGGAGAAGGCCAGGGACGAAGGGCGCAGAGGCCGGTGATCGTCGTTGCTGTGTCCGGTGGCCAGAGGGTCCCGAGCGTCCTCGGGACCCTCTGGCCACCGGACACAGCAACGGCCAGGCGGTTGCCACGTGGTCACGGGGACATCACCTGGCAGACATCACCAGGCTCAGAGGCAGTGGGCGGGGCCGTCCCTGCTATCTGGAGGACCAGGAAAGTTCAAGTCTCTGTCCTTCCCACTGCTGGTCCCAGGCACCTGGCTATGGGCAGAGGGGTCTAGCGGTTGCCTCTACTTTTGTACCTGACCTTTAAAGGCAGAAAATATAATAAATTTTGCCAGGTCCTGAAAACTACGGATACCTATGGACTGAAGGTGCTCTCTTTCTTCTTTGTGAAAATGAACTTATAATACACTTGGATGGTCTTTTAAGGAAAAACAAATAACTCAGGATAGGTGATGTGTTTCATTCTTCTAGGATGGATGTTAATGTCACTTTTTGCAATTTAGCTCTTAAGTAAATGGCCAAAGCCGTCCAGGATTTATGTTTTAGTACTGGTAATGCTGATTTTATGTGAACTCTCCTATAATTCCCAGCCTCTGTGCATACACGTATAGATCAGTATAGATCGTCTTCTCTCTGAACACTAATATCATTTCTCTCTTTTCCCTTTTAATGGCAATCCATGCATACAGAGTAGAGTGAGTCACATTTCCAATTTGCAGTTGAAAAGCATATAATTACAAAACAAAGGATTCGTAGACTTCTGGTGAATTGATCATAGTGCTTAAGTTTGGAGGTCTATTGAAGGTGATGTGAAAGAAACCACTCTTGAGAACTTTTTCTTCAAAAATATGTTCAGAAGCCACCTATTGGGTTGGCCCCAGTGCTTGGGGAGGGGAGGGACAGAAGTAGAGGCAGACAGAGCAAGTACTGAATCAAGAGCAGGCAACAGATTTTGTCTAGATCTGAGAGATGGAAGGCCAAATGGGCAGGGCACTAAAAGGAGCTTGATGAGAAAACACCAAAATCTTCTGTGGTTCAGGGAAGAGCCAACCCTTCAAGAAGGTGGGGATAGGGGAGTTGGGGGCTGTCACCAACAGATGATGGAGAATGAGATCCCTAACAGTTTCTACTAATTTTTTGGGGTTTTTTTTGCAGATTCCTTATTTAAGGAATGATTCCCAAGGATATGACTTTGAAACAAAGGGAATTTCCTATATAATTTTCTTCTTTAAATGATTTTTCAAACATGGCTAAGATGCCTCTTAATATGGTAATAGCAGTAGAGTGAATAGCTTGATGCCATTTGGAATGATATTCTAATATATTTTTTCTTTCCACTGTCTGCAGAATTGCTCATGTCTTACTTTGCAATGTAACCCAGAGGGTGTCATTTTGGTTTGTGGTTACAGACCCTTCAAAAAATCACACCCTTCCTGCTGCTGAGATCCAGTCAGCCATAAGGTAATCCCTGGTTCCCTGGTCAATCAACTTGTTGATTAATTCAACTGTTTTCATAAATATCGAAGAGTTCTCTCCCTGTTCTACACATAATTTCTTTATAAAATGTCAAAGATTTCATTTTGTTAGTTTCTATTAGAGATTAGTGTAGATCAGTAGTTCTCATCCAGGGAAAATTTTGCCTTCAAGGAGACATTTGGAAATATTTGGAAACATTTTTGTTGTCACAACTAGAGGGGGTGGTGGTGCCACCAGCTTTGAGTAAGCAGAAGTTACAGATGTTGCTAAACATCCTACTGTGAATAGCACAGCACCCCCAACAAAGAATTATTTGGCTGAAAATGTTAATTGTGCTATGGTTGAGAAACCCTGCTTTAACACATTGACTGACCCACTAGAAAAAAACATTTTTTTCCTTGGGGCCACAGTGTTTTGTTATGAAAATAAAATAAAAACCTTGAAAACAAAATGATCCTTTCTAATTTAATGACAAATTTGTTATTTTTTTATTGTTTTCTGTGTGTGAGTTATATGCAACTTGAAAAATAGTTCTCATGGCTCCCAAGGTGAAGAGATTTGTGAGTTACTTATGCTTCATGAGGCCCCGGGCTCAAAACTAGCTGGAGTTAAATACAACTCACATGGCAGTTAATGTGTTAAATATTAGCTAAGAATGTTTAGTATTGTCTTCTTTTGGCAAGAACACCTTGTATTTCACTATTGTGTGATGGTTTGAGATCACATGGACTCTGGCGCCAGAATGTCTAGATTTTTAATTCTGATAACTTTGAATACAGACAAATTACTTACCCTCTTTTTGCCTTCCTCTCATCATTTGTAAAATGTGAATAATTATGGTACCCCTCTCTCAGAGTTACTGAGAAGATTAAATGAGTTAATGAATTTAAAAAGTTTTGAGGGACAAATCATTCCTTTGATTTTTATTTTGAAACCAAGAAAAATATTCACATTTCTTCAGTATCTAAGGATTTACCTTTTTCAGTCAATAGATAGTCTTTACCCATTAAAGATAATTTTAAAGAAACCTGAAAGTTTATGGCTCTCATACAAATTAAAAGTGAATAGTATCAAAGATTTTATTATTTCTTTAATTAATGAGGGAACTAGTAAGATGTTAAAACCATTTCACAGGAGATTTCAAGGAACCACACATATAGAGGAAATAAGGAATGGTGAAATGCATTTACAAAATGATGCATCAGTTTATCTATCCGGCAGTAATCAATTATGTTCCACCAGACACAATTCATTTGATTTTTTTATGGACAAGAATCATTTACATTATGTTAGTTTTCTAGTTATGGATTTGAAAAATAGCTCAAAGACAATAAGAGGTGAAAATTTCCCAGAAAGGGACACTAGGCAGGATACTAAGTAAAATGTTCAATAATCTTATTTTTGCCCATTTTAAGTCTTTTACACTCTTTCCTGACAGCTGCTCACCTCCCCTCCTTATAATCATAACAAACTCAAAAATGAAACTAGTTCTTGACTACCATGAATTAGAAGGATTTGTTTTTATTTTAATTAATATGCATTTAGTGTGTTCAGAACTTCAAATGCCACACATGATTGATGTTGAGCAAGGTATTTTGGAAGAATGAATTCATGAAATAAACTATTTCCTGAAAAAGAAAGAACAAAACAAAGTAACTCGCCCCACAAAAGATTTACAGGTTACTAAAATGAATATTATTCTGTTTACCAAGGAGAAATACCTAGTGAAAGAATTAATTTGCTCTCTGTAAAATATTAACACTTAACAGAATGAGTATGCAATCAAATGTCAAAGGTTTTTGTGAACAATTACCTATTCTCCTGGCTGAAGCAAAGGCACTGAGGATCTATGTAAATGGGAAATGGTTTAATTTGCTCTAACAAGAAGGTTTGAACTAAATTATGCTTGTACTAATACTGTTAAGACCCACCACTTAGGGGGTTAAAATTAGAAACATCATATTTTATGTGAAAAGGGATTTTATTCAAGTCTTGTGATCTGCAAGGGCTATGAGGAAGATGAAGGCACTGCAATGTGGTTACACCAGGCTTGGGTAGATATGAGAAGGAAGAGTGTGTGCTCGAGATGAAGGTCCAAGAAGTACATGAATATGTTCATAATAATGTGTCTATTTCAAAGGTCAGCAGGAGAAACTATTTAGCTGGGTGTGGATGGCCAATAGAATGAGAATTTATGAGAATGAGTAGGGCACATCAAGATTGGATAAAAATAATGGAAACAATAGAAAGGATAGAGTGAAAAAAGAGAGGAGATGGTACTTAGAGAGCAAGTAATAGGAATTTCAAGGCTGAAGAATTTATGTGGTGGAGCAAAATAATACTAGTTCCAAATAATATTTGCATAGCGCCTTCTGGTTCACAAGGTATGTTCTTATGCATCTGTGGCTTTTAATATCAACACCAATAATTTTTGAGTAATTATTATTATCCCTCATTTATTTTATTTATTTATTTTTTTGAGACAGAGCCTCACTCTGTTGCCCGGGTTAGAGTGCCATGGCATCAGCCTAGCTCACAGCAATCTCAAACTCCTGGGCTCAAGCAAACCTGCTGCCTCAGCTTCCTGAGTAGCTGGGACTACAGGCTTGCGCCACCATGCCTGGCTAATTTTTTCTCTATATATTTTTAGTTGGCCAATTAATTTCTATTTATAGTAGAGACAGGTGTCTCGCTCTTGCTCAGGCTAGTTTCAAACTCCTGACCTTGAGCGATCCACCCACCTCAGCCTCCCAGAGTGCTAGGATTACAGGCGTGAGCCACCACGCCTGGCCTGTCCCTCATTTGTAAATGAAGAAACTGAAGCTCAGGGAGATTAATTGATTTGTTAAGCCCACCATACTAGAAAGAAAAAGAATGAGGACTTGATCCTAGACATGCTGCCACCATATCCAGTGATTTTTTTTCCTCTTTACTAGAGTGTCCACACTTATGGAATGAGGTAAGGGAATGGCCAACCAGTTCTGAGATGTCTGTTATAGTTCTTTTGTGAGGGCCTGGCCTAATTGAATTTCAGTCTTGGTTGAAAGATACCAATAGTGATTGACACAAATTGGGGATTCCAGTGGTGAATAAGATTTAATCTGTACTTGAGCTAGAACTTCCAAACAGCCTGAGAGGTGATAGAGAACATTCCTAGCCTGCACTGAGAAAGTAGCAAAAGGTTAATCAACCAGGTAGATAGAATGAGAATGCAGAGAAACTTTTCGTCTTTCCCTGAGTGATATCTTAGCAGCAGTGTTTATTCTTTTGTGGAAAGGTTTGTGCTCCCAGATTGTCAGTATTAGGTTATGAAAAAAAATCCATATTTTAATAAAAAATACATTTAATCTTTGTTGTGGATTATCTGGGGTTCACTTTCACGTCTATGAATAATCATGCCTCAGCATAGATTTTTATTTGCTAAAGGGGATCTTTGCTGATTGCCTGGTGATGGTCTGCAGATTCACAAGCCATTGCTATCTGGCTCCCTAGACTTGGGCTGTCCAATACTGTAGTCACCAGCCACATGTGATTAATAAGCACTTGACATGTGGCTAGTCCAAAATGCAGTGTACTCTAAGTGTAAAATATACACCAAATTTCAAAGACTTAGTACAAAATAAGATGTGAACCAACAACTCAATGTTGATTACATGTTGACATTTTCTTGGATATATTGGACAAAAAATTATTAAAATTAATTTTACCTGTTTCTTTTTCTTTTTTTTTAGTGCAGCTACTCGAAAATTTTAAGCCACATGAGGACCATATCATATTTCTATTTTCCAGGGCTGTTCTAGAGGTAGATAAGTCAGCTTATGTAGTATGAATTCAGTAAGGGTCGTAAAACATCTCTAAGGACTCTTCTTGCCTAGTTCATAAATTCCAGTTAGAGCTTCACTTATTTGGTTTCAATTAAATAAGTCTTTGCTACTAATTATGCCCTAACTGCCACTACCACCAAAACTGCAGATGTTTCCCAATAAAAGTAATGTATTTCTCTAAACTTTTGGACTCCAAAATCTACCATTGCCATCAGTCCTATGGAACTACTTTCAGTTTATTGAGCAAGTCTTATGTTACCATGTCTCCCTTCCTGTGCTTACTACATACTGTCATTCTAATCTAGATGCTACCTCTCAGGAAATAAAACATAGTGGGTAGAGCTCAAAGCACAGGACTTCTGGTTACTTCTAGGACATTCACATGGCAGCCAGCACTGCAACTTATTAAAAGAAACCCCAGCATAATTGCCCTCAACAAACTTTCTAGGCAACCTGCAGTTTCCTGCTAGGAGGATGCTTTGTTTATAGAGATATTTGTAATCATGGAGAGACAGGTTTGTACTTTGTTTCTAATTGTTTCTTTTTCTGTCTTATTTTGTTTGTTTTTAATTATCATTGTATTTTAGAATGAATAGGAACCGGATCAACAATGCCTTCTCTTTGAGTGACCAAACTCTGGAATTTTTAAAAATTCCTTCCACACTTGCACCACCCGTGGACCCATCTGTACCCATTTGGATTATTATATTTGGTGTGATATTTTGCATCATCATAGTTGCAACTACACTACTGATTTTATCAGGGATCTGGCAAAGTAGAAGGTAAGATATTTAAAGGGAGTTAGAGAGCATTTTCCTATATCTTCATGACTTGGAAAAATAAGGAGAGGATTTTCCTCTGGCTACAGATAATGCCTTAAATTTGAAACTCTAAAAAAAAATTGGTTATTTTAAAAATATCACCTATCCTCTTGTCTTTAGAAAATTTTGAGAATCCAATATCCCTTACTTAACTAGGTTCCTTCTGTTACTATCTTTCTCTCTCTTCTATATCATATGAATGCTTCATATCCAGAGCTGATTTTACAATCTGTGTTATGATTTTCTAAGCTGTATACATGGAGCTAAGCAGACTCTTCAGAGCAGAGTTCCTGTTTGGTAGTTGTCCACATCCAAATGCCAGCAGTTGCACAGTTTTTTCCATGCCTCCCCACCTTAGTTTGAGAGCTTTCAATTTAACAACTTATAGATAGATTCCCACTTCTTGAGATCATTTACCTGGATTCTGGGGCACTTGCAAACTTTGATGTCTAAACTATTGATATTTCTTCAAGAGGGGATTTCAGACCAGTGGGAGAGTTACTGAGATAGAGGGGAAGAAAAGGAGACAGGATTTCTCAGCATGGTTTTGTTTACAAGTACCTCTAATCCAGAAGGGAAGATGGAAAAGTCCCCAGTTCGTCACTAAACACTTTCATGCTTCTAAATGTTCCCTTCTGAAACCAAGGAAGAGAAGTTCTGGTAAGTGGGAATCACAGGGGCATGCATTTCAAAATCACAGGGATATGGTTGTCAAAAGTGTTGGTACCTACATGGCACATGTGGGATGTGTGTGTCCGAGTAAGTATTTGACTAAATGTTTCTCCCGAGGTCTGCTACTTTCCATATGTTTTACCCTAGTTACTAACAGAAGGTAATAATTTTAAATTTTGGGCTTTGTAATTTTTTCACAAATGATAAGTGAAATGCTATGGGATAAATGTGGTTTATGTCTAGTCCCCAAATTAAACTCAAAGATTAGGATCAAGTTGTACTTGCTTTATTTTCTTGATCTTGGCATGACATATAACACAAAGAGACTTGATACAAGGTGTCTGTTTTGGTTTGGTTTTGGTTTTTAGAATATTAAGAAATAGTCTCTTGTAATCCTTGAATACCTATGTTCAGTATTTTTGTTTTCTATTGATCCTAAGATGCTGTGATTCTACAGTTTCTAACAATTGTAACCTTTGTGAATTCACTCCATCTCTTTGGTTCCCAATTTCCTCGCTAGTACAATATAGTGCAGCAGTTAGAAGAACGGACTCTGGAGATAGACTGCTTAGATTCAAAGTATTTATCGCTTAGATTCTGCCCTTGTATACAATCCATTAACTGTATGGATATCAGTAAGCACAAACAATGAGTCAGGGAAAACGAGCTTAGGAGAATATGATTTGTGGTGCTTGAGTCAAGCTGGCTAAGTTTATCTTTGCTGTCTATGCATAGATAACTTTTTTTTTAGAGTGGCAGTGAGGTGTACTGGAAATAATTAACTTGGTGGGATAAAAAGAGTTAATATGATAGAGTGCTTAGATTGGTACCTGGCACACAATAAATGCTCAATAAGTGTTAGCTGTTACTATTATTTTATTATCTTGCCATTTGCTGGTCTTTCAGCTAGTTTCTGCTAGCATCAGCTATCTCTTTCTTTCTGAGCAGATTCTACAGTACTATAATAATTGGGTGTGTAGCATCATAATGTGTTGCCTGGGAGAAGTGAGGCTGTTGTCACAACCTTGCCTTTACAAATTCATTTCATGTTCGAACTAGGAAAACAGATGGACAAATTTCTTGTGCAAACCTGGACAGCATCAATAATTAGCAAATATAATCAGGAAAATAGTGACAACCTTCTGAACATAAATTTTTCTAAATTTGATACAGTTTGTGGTAGGTTTCTCTTGGGCAAAATATTGCTTCAAAGGCAAGGAGAAGGTGCAGTTTGAAGTGGGGAGAGCCCTGATAATTGTGATGAAAGCTCTTTCTAGTCATGGAAAAGATAGGAGTTGTCCCCAAAGCCTTTAGTTTTGAGGAAGACAATCAAAGGAAGGTTTAACAATATACTCCGTACATTAGATAGTAATGAACATGGTTTGTGTGATACAAAATCTTAAACTTAAAAGACCTGAAAGGACCATGGGATTATCTAAATCATTATTCTGCCTCTATGGAGAAGAGCCTAACACATTTGCATATTTAAACTTACTATTGGAGAAATTTCTCAGCCAAAGCTTTAATAATTCTGTTATCTTTGTCAATAACACCATTATATTGATTATTCCACTCAGTGGGGTGGAAAGTATGCAATCATTGGAGCCAAAACTAGGTAAACTCAAATACCAGCTATGCCCTTTGCCTACATGATCTTGGTTGAGCCACTGAAACCCATTTTTATAGGTCTCAGTTTCTCCATCTGCAATAGGGAGATGATATCTCACAGAGCTTTTATGAGGATTGACTGACATAAATGTGTATAAAGTATCCAGGATATTGTGTGCACTAAATAAACAGTAATTATTATTATTATCCAAAATCAGCTTAACCCATTGCTGTGATTAAGGGGTGCTAGGAAAGGAACTCTTTTCCACCCAGATACTGTCATCACACTGTAGAAATTTCTCCAGTTCATTGACTCATTGCTTGGGATTTTATTAGCAAATAAATACCTATTTTATTTTATTAAAGTATCATTAATAAGTAAAAATTTTATATATTTATGATATACAAGGTGACATTTTGATAGATGTATATATTGTGAAATGGTTAAATTAAGCAATTAACATAGCCATCACCTCACATAGTTATCTTTTTTGGAAGTGAGAACACTTAAGATCTACTCTCTTAGCAATTTTGAAGTATACAATACATCATTACTAACTACACTCACTACAACAGATCACCCAAAATCATTCCTACTGTCTAACTGAAACTTTATGCTCTTGGACCAACATCTCCCAAGCCCCTGACAACCATTATTCTATTCTTTGCTTCTATGAGTTCAACTTTTTAAGATTCCACATATAAGGGAGACCACATGGCATTTGTCTTTCTGGCTTATTTCACTTAATATAATGTCCTTCAGGTTCACTTGTGTTGTTACAAATGGCAGGATTTCATTCTTTTTAAAGGCTGAATGGTATTCCATTACAGACAAACAGACACACACATACATAAACACACATAGCAAATTTTCTTTGTCTATTCATCCACTGATGATCAATGGATACTTCTTAGATTGATTCCATTCTTTGGTTGTTATGATAATGCTGCAATGAACATGGAAGTTCAGGTATCTCTTCAACATACTCATTTCAATTCCTTTGGATATGTACCCAGAAGTGAGATTACTGGTTCATGTAGTAGTTCTATTTTTAATTTTTCTTTTTTTGAGACAGAGTCTCACTTTGTTGCCAGGCTAGAGTGAGTGCCGTGGCGTCAGCCTAGCTCACAGCAACCTCAAACTCCTGGGCTCAAGTGATCCTCCTGCCTCAGCCTCCCTAGTAGCTGGGATTAGAGGCATGCACCACTATGCCCGGCTAATTTTTTCTATGTATATTAGTTGGCCAATTAATTTCTTTTTTTTTTTTTATTTATAGTAGAGACGAGGTCTTGTTCTGACCTTGAGCAATCCGCCCGCCTCGGCCTCCCAGAGTGCTAGGATTACAGGCGTGAGCCACCACGCCCGGCCTATTTTTAATTTTTTGAGTAAACTCCATACTGTTTTCTATAATGGCTATACTAATTTACATCCCCCCAACAATGTACACGGGTTCTCTTTTCTCCACACTCTGGCTGACACTTGTGATCTTTTGTCTTTTTGACAGTAGCTGTTCTAACAGGTGTGAGGTGACATCTCATTGTGGTTTTAATTTGCATTTCCCTGATGATTAGTGATGTTGAGCATTTTTTCATATACCTATTGGCCATTTGTACATCTTCTTTTGAAAATTATCTATGGAGGCCCTTTGCCTATTTTTGAATTGGGTTGTTTTCTTGCTATTGAGTTGTTTGAGTTCCTTATATGTTTTGGATATTAATCCCTCTTTTGTGCAGAAGCTTTTTAATTTTATGTAAATCCCATTTGTCTATTTTTGCTTTTGTTGCTGTGCTTTTGGCGTCATATCCAAAAACTCATTGCCCAGACCAAAGTCATGGAGTTTTTCCCCTTTGTTTTCTTCTAGTCATTTTATAGTTTCAGGTCTTATGTTTAAGTCCTTAATCAATTTAGAGTTGATTTTTGTATTTGGTGTGAAATAACAGTCCAATTTCATTCTTCTGCATTTGGATATTCACTTTCACATATTGAAACTTACCATTTTTCTAAAGTCTTTTATTTCTTTTCTTTTCTTTTCTTTTCTTTTCTTTTCTTTTCTTTTCTTTTCTTTTCTTTTCTTTTCTTTTCTTTTTTTTTTTTTTTGAGACAGGGTCTCACTCTGTTGCCTGGGCTAGAGTGCTGCGACGTTAGCCTAGCTCACAGCAACCTCCAACTCCTGGGCTCAAGCGATCCTCCTGCCTCAGCCTCCCGAGTAGCTGGGACTACAGGCATGGGCTACCATGCCCGGCTAATTTTTTCTATATATTTTTAGTTGGCCAATTAATTTCTTTCTATTTTTACTAGAGATGGGGTCTCGATTTTGCTCAGGCTGGTCTCAAACTCCTGAGCTCAAGTGATCCACCCGTCTCAGCCTCCCAGAGTGCTATGATTACAGGCCTGAGCCACAGTGCCCAGCCTCTTTTTTTTTTTTTTTTTTTTGAGATAGTATCTTGCTCTGTTGCCTGGGCTGGACTGCAGTGGCATCATCAGAGCTCACTGCAACCTTAAACTTCTGAGCTCAAGCCATCCTCCTGCCTCAGCCTCCTGAGTAGCTGCGACTACAGGCACATACTACCATGCCTGGCTAATTTTTTAATTTTTTATAGAGATAAAGTCTCACTGTGTTGCTCAGACTTTTCTCCTAGGAATCATCTGGACTGATTATAAGGACAATCCCAATTCCCCA